CTCCCTAGACCTGCTAGTGGAGCCAGTCAGAGAGGTAGAGAGCTGGAGCAGGTTTCTGATAGAACGGCTGGAGCTGACGTCAGCTTGAGGAGCAAACGGGGCTACAAGCGAGGGGCTCCTGGCCTTCACGCTTACCCACACAGTGGGCCGTTTCCCTACTTCCAGCTGCCTGAGGTCCTTTCTTTTCTTACCTTTAATAAAGGTAAAAGCTCGCTGCTGTTTGTACTTGTTTTGACCGATCCTTTGTCCAACACAGAAGGAACCTAGAAAGCACCTCCAGAGGGAGGCTCCAGCACCCTGATGGTAAACCCAGGCGACAGCCCTGGAGGGAGGGAGGGACAGTGCGGGCAGAGCCCAGGGTAGCGGGCACTGGGGCCTCAGCATCGGCGGCTTCTGGGAGAGAAGAGAAGCAGCAGGCAGTCAGATGGCAGGTGGCTGTGGTGAGGAAGGGGAGGCACATCTGAGACACCCCTGGAGGCGTTCGTTCGTACTGGTGGGACTTGGGGACCAATGCAGGGAGAGGCAGGAAGGCCCCAGCTGAATCTGGGCTTTGTCCTGGGTGGCTGTGTAGGTGAAAGCGCTCACAGAATCTTCTCCCAGCTCATCCTGCGCTCCTAAAGCACCTCCCGAGGCCCTCCATCCTCCCAGCTTCCGACCCAGATCACGGATTCTTCTCCCTGGCCGCTGCCTTTCCTATGCTGACTTCACTCCTCCCCATTCACCAACTCTGGGGAGCTGGGCTGGGGTACAGCTCAGTGGCAGGGTGGTCTCCATTCTCAGTGCTGCAAACACCAACCAACCAAAACAACAGCAAGGTCTCCAACAAGGCTCTTCACGTGCTGAGAATTCCAACCCTGGCTTTCCGGGCAACACAACCTACAGTTCAGCCCGCTATACCACTTCCCTGCTAGAGGCTCCTGTGCCTCACTACTGCTCCTCCAAGTCTCCTCATCTGGGTCCACAGAAACCTGACCAACTCCCCAAGTCCAGTATTCACCAACTGTCCGGTCCTTGTCCTTGAGTCTCGCCATGGTCCAAGCCCTCTTGCAGTGTTTGGTTTCTGCCTTTCCTGGAGTCACTGGTCTACTTATCCCTCCAGCCGGCCCTGCTGCCTCCCAGTGTGGGGGCCCATTTCTCAGCCCGCGCCCTTTGCCCTAGCAGGGCCAAGAATCTGGCTTCATGCAGAGTAGGTGCATTTGAATGAACTGATTTGAAACAATTAATGTTATTATGTTAAGGAGCAGCCAGGCCCAGCTTGGTGACAGAGAAACATTTTCTAGCTGCATCTGCCCGCACCAGAGCTCACAGCAAAATGTATTGTCCGTACCCTTCTGTCAAACTTCTTGCCATCCCCAAAGGCACTCACAGACCCTCTTAGTAGATAACCCTGGCTGTTTGAAATACCCCAGTACAGAAGCCCGCGGAAGCTCACCTCCCTGAAGTGTTAAACAGCAAGGGGTCTGCGAAGGACACTCAGTACAGCCCATGCTCAGCACGTTCGAGAGCCTGGGTTCCATTCCAGCAACCTAACTCAGGATTTTTAAACTTCTGTTTGTAACTCAGCAATCAAAAGGTCATAGAGTACAGCTGGGCATGGTGGCGCATGCCTCTGATCCCAGCACTTAGGCTGAGGCAGGAGGATTGCTTCAAGTTTCAGGCCAGTCTGGGGTACACGGGGAGTTCAAGGCTAGCTTGGACTACACAGATGCTGTCTCAAAAAACAGAAACAAACCAACCAAAAGAACAGAGGCCATGAAATACATTTAATGGGTCATAAGTAATACTAAAAAATAGGGCAGGGGCAGGGTTTTACCTGAGTGGCGCCTTGCCTGCCTCACAAGTTCAAGGTCTTGAGTTCGATCCCGGTACCAAAAAAAAAAGGCAGGGCTGGGGATTTAGCTCAGCGGCACCGCACCTGCCTTGCAAGTGCAAGGTCCTGAGTTTGATCCCTGGTACTGGGGCAAAAAAAAAAAAAAGAAAAATACTGTTTCCAGGGAGGTCTCAAATGTATACATCCACATCCACACATGTGTGCATATGCAGTGTCACTGTGGAAAGTGTGTTTCTTACCAAAGGTCCTGGTCAAAACGGGTCGAAAGCTTGCGCTTTAATGCTGTGCCCCAACCCCAGGATCAGCACAAAGAACTCAAGTAGACAAAGTAAAATGTTAAGAAAATACTGATGAGACTACCTGCCTGAAAGTTACTTACACTTTGCAATACGAATGAGAGGTGCTTTCAACCCAAACAGATCTCATCACTAGAGAGGAAGCAAGGCGTGATGGCACAGCCTGTCATCCCAGCCACAAGTTCAAGCCCAGCCCCAGCAATTTAGTTCCTTAGCAAGACCTTGTCTCACAACAAGTAAGGACCGGGGATGTGGATTAGTGTAAAGGCCCTGAGTTCAATCCCCAGGACTGAACAAAACAAAACAAAACAAAAGACAGTGAATCAGAAGTCACTGTGGACTTTTCCTCTGGGTTACTATGGATTTTGCTGAACACAGGATGTCTCCTCTCCGGTGCTAGGCATCATCCTGGGGCTCACATTGCTCCTGTGCTAATCTGTCGGAACAGCTAGCCGTCCACTCACTGGGCAGGGTTGGCTGGAAATTTTAAGATACTTTGTGTTAAGTACATAGGGTTCACTTATATTTATTTTGTTTTCTGCAAGTACCTGGTTTTATCAAAATAATTCCAATAAAATATTTTAGACAAAAACAAACAAAAAAGAAATCATTTTGGACTACAGGCCTTCAGGGCAGCTCTGGCAAGGGTTTCCTCCAGGGTCCCAGTTCCCCAAGAGCTGCCCTCAGGAACCGGGAACAATGTGGAAAGACTCCCGGTTTCCAGGTCCCGCTCTCAGCAGGGAAATGGATCCTTCCACGCACCTGTCACGCTTATCAATTCAAATCTGCATGTGCATATTTAACTCATGTCTAGAAATACAATCCCACATATCCACAGAAGAGACCCGTATCTAGGCTAGAGGTGCAGCTCAGTGGTATGGTGCTGGCCTAGCAGGTGTGAGGACCTGGCTTCAATCCCCCACACTGGGGAGGAAAAAAGGGGCTAAAGCTGATACGAGGCAACACAAGCCCCAAACTGATCTAAAGATAAGAACTACTAACTGGGCGAGGTGGCGCATGCCTGTAATCCTAGCATTCCAGAGGCTGAGGCAGGAGGATCCCTGAGACCAGCCAAACTACATAGTGAGACCCTCTCTCAAAAAAAGGCCCCCCAAAATAAATAAAAACAAGAAATACTGCGAGTTATGGAAGGCAACGGTATATCATATGTGAGACAGAAGAGGAAATATGGGAAAGGTAGAATGGCGATGGGCTCCCGGGTGTGTGCAGATGCATTAGAGTGAGTGGTTATTACCTTGAGGACTGGCAGTAATGTGGGAAGAAAGATAGAGAAAACACCTTCCCTGTCAGCTGTGTACCCCGGAGCACACAGGCAGTATCTGATTATATCGGCACACAAAAGACAAATGCCAAGTCCTAATTCAGCCCTAGCTCCATTTAACAGCTGGCCCCCGTGGTATGTTCTCAATTTATGATTGAGAGATCACCAGTGGGCTTCCTAATGAATGTGAACACTCTCCACTGCCGATCCCAACTCCAGCAAATAACCGGGTCAGAGCAAGGTTCAAAGGACAGGACTTCAAAGCTGCTGTGGCACAAGAATCCTACCTAGATGGGGTGCTCATAAATTTGGGTTATGCCAGGGTGGGACTTTTAGCACATTGCACAACTGAAGATCCCTTCACCTCTTACAAATTCTTCAAGGAGAGGAAAGGAGACCTTTATTTGGAAGGAGAGGAGATCATCTTGGTTTGATATGTAATAGGCAAATAACAATATTATCCAAGGCTGTTTAAATATGAATTAGCGCCTCCCCATATCTAGAGAGGCTCCAGACCCTTGGGACTATTACGTGTCAAAGTCTCTACTGACCACTGGATAAACTCCAGGCTTCCTTCTGGCTTTTAAAACCCTGCCACACCTGCCCAACCTTATCTCAGACTTTGTATGCTTGAGATCTCAGCTCACGCTCCATTCCTCTCTCCTTATCAGGACTTTAGTTCTTAATTCTTCCCAACTTCCCCTTCTAAAAGTTCTGCAACCTTCCTAAGAACTTCCAACCTCTCAAAAGACCTATGTATCACCTGTGATTTTAACCCTTGAATTCCTACAGTACTTACAGGTCCCATTCCATAGATAAGAAAGGCACAGATAAGTGGTTGTCTAGGTTCACACTACTTGTGAGCAGCAGCTAGGCTGGGTCTCATTCTTTTGCCTTTAAAGCCCATGTTAAAAACCATGAAGTACAGATGTGGTTTAAAAAAAAAAAGCCCATAAACCAGTTATAATACAGCTTGTTGTGACATAAATTCTGACACATCACATCCTTTGAACCACACGGGTAATAATCGCTTGGAAGAGCACGGACAGTTTTTAAAGGGGTTGGTAGTTGTTTCCCAAGCACAGTATTAAAATGACATTCCAGGGTCAATGACAGGGGTGGCCAAGGATTAAAAAAGGTAATATGGCACAAGGAGGAAATACTAAAGACGGGACAGAGAGAGATGAAAGTAACAGGAGCTGGCAGTGCACAAAACAGACACAGGGTACGGGATACGGGGCCAAGGGGGCCCGCAGGGCTGAGACCCCCAAGTTCGGGGGCCTGCGCGCGGTCACGGCGCTCGTGTGCCGGGCAGTTGGGAACATAGCCGGATACGAGGCCAGCCCGAGCGCAACTCGGAAGCGACAGGGGGACAGGTCATGGGGACACCGCGAGGAAGGGGACGACGGGCGAGGGCAGAGAGGTCGGGGGACACAGCGCCCCGGACCCAGGCGGGATTTCCGCGGGATATCCCGGGGGTCAAGCCCGCGCCTTGCACTCCCCGCTGGTGGCCCGGGAGGGGGGAGGTCCTCTCCCCACTCCCCTCATTCCCGGGGACACGGAGGGGAGGCCGAGGCAAGAGGGTCCTTACCCAGGAAGATGGAGATGATGAGGCGCAGTGCCTGCTCCGACGCACCCAGGGACGTCGCCAACTTGCCCAGGCTCAGCTCCTCCAGCCCCGGCCGCAGCCCCCAGGCCGGGCCCGCCGCCGCCCCCAAGACCCCGTCCGCCGCGGACGCCATCTTAACTGCGGGCGGCCCCCAGGGACCCCCGGCTCCCAGCGCCCCGACTGTGGGCACGACGCTGAGCTTCACCCCCAATTCCGGGCGCGGGCCCGCCCACGGCGTGCGCATTGGCCGCGGGCCCGCCCCGGCCGCCGGGCCCCGCCTTTGATTGGCCGGGAGGCGAGGGGGCGGGGCCTGGCGCTGCAAGGTAAGAGCGGGCGGGCCCGCGCGTGGAAGGCAGAGGTGACTCGAGCGGGCGGGCGGTGCTATGGGGGGGCGGGGCGCGCTCCCCGTCCTAACCGCCCGCGGGCGCGGCGCTGGGGGGCGAGAGTCCAGCGCGGCGCTGCCCTCCCATTGGCTGGGCGCGAGCAGGCGAGCGTTGGACGGGGGGGGGGGGGTGTGGGGGGGGTGGCACCGCCCAGCGCGGGGTTACTCGCGGTCGCCGCGCGCTCGGGTCACTGGGGCAGTGAGCAGCAGCGGGCAGCGGTGGCCTCGCGCGCGCCCCCCAGCGGCGCCTTCGCGCACCGCCGACCCCTTCCGGCGCGGGGTCCCTGTGTCGCGGCGGGGCCGAGCGAGCGCCCGCCCTGAGCTGTGCCCCGTCCACCTGCGGTGAGCCGGGTCCAGCGGCCCTCGCCCGGAGGGATGGCAGGAACACACGCTTTTGGGGGTGTTCTGAGGGTTGAGCGGGGGCCTTCGCGCTGGGCCACATCCCCATTTTGTATTTTTTATTTTGAGAGAGGGTCTCGCCAGATTTTCCAGGCTGGCTCCAGCCTTTTCTCTTGTTGTTTTGGGTTTTTGTGACAGGGTCTCGCAATGTGGTTCAGGCTGGCCTTGAACTATGTAGCCCAGGCTGGCGTCAAACCCAGGGCGACCCTCCTGCCTCAGCCTCCGGAGTGCAGGGATTATAGGTGTGAGTCACCATGCCCAGCTGGTTGGCGCCAAGTTTTTGATCTTCCCGCCTCAGCCTCCCAGTGCTAAGGATGTGCCTATTTAACATTTGCCGTTTTAATGAACAACCAAACTGGCGGTGTCACCATTTTAGTTTATTTTAAAAATAATTTTATCCCGTTTCCTCAAGCCCGCTCCCCTCCCTATGTCACCATTTCAGTAATGCACATTCATGATAAAAGTTCAAACGGTAGAGAAACAGGAGGGCTGGGGTTTTAGCTCAGTGGTTCCGCTGCCTGCCTCGCAAGCTCAAGGACTTGAGTTCGATCCCTGGTACCAAAAAAAAAAACCAAACAAGGTAGAGAAACTGGAAACCAAAAGCAAGAGCCCTTTTCTTCCCGCTGCTTCCGGTTCCCACCTCCTACGGGGAACCTCATGTGGATGACCTGGGCTGTGCCGGGCGTGGGGTCCAACCGGGTCCAGGGTCCACAGCCGCGGGTTCAGGGACGCACAGAGAGCGCCGTGGGTGCGGGTGCGGCCTGGCCCGCGAGTCTGAGGTGTGAGACCAAAGTAACTCCATTTTGCTTGTGTGAGACCAGAATGACTCCATTTTGCCGAAAATGGAGTAGTCTCCTTTGTCCTCTCACATTAATGATTAAAATGTGCTTGATCTAGGACAAAAGACACAATCTATAACACAAGATTCCTAAGTTTATTACTCAGCCATCTGTTTACCCAGGAAATAAACATCCTGGGCCCACTATCTGTAGGGACAATCTGTTAATGTGCTGACTATCCACACAGGGTGGTCGTGACTATTAGTCAAGATGTCTGCTGACCATCAGTATGTGACAGTGGGCCACTAACCTTTGTCCCCCTTTTCCCTTGTAAAACCTATATGTAATCCCCCTCAACCCCGCCATGAGCCTAGCCAATCAAAAATCTACACTTCATGCATGCTAAGCGCCGACCAATCATTGTAATTGCTAGATGAAACCTTGCTGTAACTTCTATAAAAATCCCGCTAATTTGAAACTCGGGGCTCTCAATCTCGATCCGCTGTGTCGGTGACAATTGAGAGTCCCTGCTTAAGCTTGAATAAACGACCCTCATGTGCTTACATCGGAAACGGCCTCCTGGTGGTCTTTGGGACTTCACAATCTGGGCACTACAGAGGCAGACGAGGGCCCCACTTCGGTGCCACGGTGCGAAGCGTGGGTGTCACATGACTCCGCTTAATTCGACCGCCCAACGCGAGGCTGTGTCTTAGTGTGCAGTCCTCTCACTGACGCGGGCTGGAGAAACTGAGGAACTTGCTAAATTCTTTTGCCAGTATTTGAGACGGGGTCTCGCTGTGCAGCCCAGACTGGCCGTGACCTCGTGGCGATCCTGCCTCGGCCTCCCTAGTGCCGGGATTACAGCGGGCCCCCCC